ACAAATTTGTTAAATTGCTAGTTAATTTAACTCGTGATATTACTGTGGTAGTTTAATAGAATTGGCGTTTTAAGACCGAAAATTTTTCGGCGCGCGTTTCCGGGAACTCACAAATTTGTTAAATTGCTAGTTAATTTAACTCGTGATATTACTGTGGTAGTTTAATAGAATTAGCGTTTTAAGACCGAAAATTTTTCGGCGCGCGTTTCCGGGGATTACACATGTAGTATATAAATTCACATAAGAATCACATAAGCATTAAGATCCAGCTAAGACCGTTTAGGCGTTGATTTCTATAATTTGTGTTAACACATATGGTCATATAATATATATATTGGTTCTTTGCTTAATTTAAGTGTAGGAAGCAATCATATTAACGAATCACTGTCTACTATTTTATTATTCAATTTATTTCTAAATTTCGTATATTTCTGTTTAATGTCTTCTGTTTAAGAAATGAATAATATCAATCCTTGTGCATATCAAGTTCAATACTGTAATTAACACATAAATTTGTGATTATTACTTATAGCCCATATGTATTTATTGCTTGTGATACAGATATCCTGAAACAGCCGTCACATTGTCATATGCATCGATGAAATCTACATTATACCGTGAAAGAATTAAACTTCGTTCAAATTTACCAAAAGATATGGAGACTCTTATTATGAATGTAGCAACATATATACCTCTTGAAAAATTTTACAAAGGATATGTAACCTGCAGTGATGGAAAGAAAGCATTAATATTTACAAGTCATGAATTGTTGCAAGAATTGCAAAAATCAACAGAACTTTATATGGATGGCACTTTTAATGTAAATTCATATATCTTAACCTTTTGAGGACGGGACTGGCCAGTATACTGGCCACTTACAAATTTGGCGACTCTACGCAAGATGTACATTTTATTCAATATATAGATTTAATATATGGATTTTCTATAGAAAAGAAGGTCAATTTTAAAGGAAAAATCCCCGTCCTCAAGAGGTTAAATATAGAATATTATTTTTGTAAATCAAAATAGTACATTTAAATAATATGAACATTTTAGATTGTTCCACGTGTACCATTGAGTCAAATGTATACGATACATACCCGATATATGAATATTGTAAGTATATACCATATATTGTACTATCAACCGTAGCTTGTTAAAATTTCATAAATAATATTGAATAAATAAGACAAAGGCAAGAAAAAGCTGTAATAGGAGCTTGTTTCATTTTTTCAATAAAATGCTATTTTAATAAATATTGATTATATTCTTTACAATAAGTACACGTAGGAAATATAAAGATAAATATAAAAAAATATGATTTTATGTCTATCTTATATGTGCAGTGCAAATTTAGATAATGCATAAAAATGTGACATATTTTTGACATACTTTTACATATTTTTCATAATAAATGCATATATGTATTTTTAAATATCTTTTTTAAAGTTCGACTGCGAAAGCCATATTGATTGTACAATGTCAGAATTAAGAAATATGTATAATATTTATCATTTTAATAATTATTTTGCGATTCTTTGTGACATATCGGACAGATATTTCAGTTTGCTACATATTTTACAGATGCTGTTGGGGATAACTTAGCTTTAAAAATTATTAGATTTGAATAGTTTTGACAATTTAAACTTCATATATTATATCATTACATATTTAAATACATTAATTTTAATAATACGAATATTGTAAAATATTGTATTTTACAGGGCATTGCTATGATCTTCATCCTGTGTGAAAGTCGTTCTAGTAATATGTATAGAGCTATTTGGAAGAAAATTATGGAGTTAGTGCCAATGCTTCAACAAAATTTAAAATTTTTAATGAGTGATTATGAAGTGGCAGCCATGAAAGTGATAAGTGAACAATTTCCAGAAGCAGAAGCACACGGATGTTGGTTTCACTATAATCAAGTATAATAATTTTATATATTTTAAATAAATTGATTTACAGATTTCTATTATATATTAAGATCTCACTAATATAGATGCTTATTGAGCATCAAAATTTTAATTTGTGATATTATTTCAGTAGTTTAGCTAGTGTAGTAGTTTAGTTTGTAAAGTCCGGAAGAATTTCGGGGCGCAGTGAATATGACTACAAAGTATATGTACATATATAATAAGGGAAGGTCACTGATACCGACATATCACTTTGTTTTTAGATTTTATTTAAGAATATTTCTTAAATAAAAAATAAAAATACAACTTCAAAAACATAAGTACAAA